TCGAACCGAGCGTGTGACCCCACCAATGGATTCCTCGTTCGGAGAGCAGTCCATTGGTGGGGTCACACGGTCGGTTCGAGTCCCATTTAGCGACTCTGGAGCACGAAACGCGTCTAGAGTTTTGGCCGCCTCCACCGGTCTTCTGGCAAATCCACTGTGCCCCGGCGTCGTCGCCGCGTCGTCCCGGCCGGCCACACCCCCGACGGCCACCCCGGCCGGGCTTCCAAAGTCACCTTCAAAGGCAGTGGCGGCCGCGCGCACGCCCCGTGTCTGTCGTTGCCTTCGCGTGCCGCCGTCTCTCTCGCACTCACGGGGAGTCGCAGCACGATAGACGGAAATCTCGGTTCCGTGGGGCCTCGGACAGTGGGTCAGAAGACCGGTGGAGGCGGTCAAAACTCTAGACGCGTTTTAAGCTCCAGAGTCGCTAAATGAGACTCGAACCGAACGTGTGACCCCACCAATGGATTTCTCTCCGAACGAGGAATCCATTGGTGGGGTCACACGTTTGACTCGAGTCTCATTTAGCGACTCTGGAGCTCAAAACGCGTCTAGAGTTTGGCCGCCTCCACCGGTCTTCGGCCCACTGTGCCACGGAGCCGTCTTGGTTTGGAGTCGCACCGCCTCGCTCCACCCGGCGCCACCCAAACCGAAATGCTCGCTTGTTTTCCCAGGTGTGCCGGGCGAAACTGACACTGCATTATTGGATGGAAAGACTTCGCGCCAAAATATGGCGATACACGAAGTCTCGCCAAGTTTTGTAGCAAAAACTTTCCAACTTACTAGGGCAAAGTGAAGTGCGTCATCACCTCCTAGCCTTCAGGTGGCTTCGCCCCCCCCCCCCCCTTTCCCCCCTCGATTTACTCTGGATCCGCCCCTGGCGTCCCCAGCCTACGCCGCTGACTGGCGGCGTCCAGCCCGGTGACTCACGCGGCGTGCGAGTGCGTGGCACTGCTCGTGGCACTGCGTGCTGCAACGTTACACACGCACTCACTCACTGCATCGCACTGCACCGCACTGCATCCGCTCGCCTTGCGTTTGCTGCGCGTTTCAAATAAAGTTACTCACGCCCGCAGACGCGCCCCGCCCCGCCCATTGAGCACGCCGAGTGTGTTTACCCAGCACGCTATCAACTTGTGCTGCTGCGGTGATAGTACACTGTCGTCGTGCGGAGGTGTCATCAAGAAAGCTGCCGAGGTCCGCCAGAAGCACCAGCAGCGTGTCTCGCCAGAAATCCGGAAGGCCGGCAAGGCCGGCAGGGCCCACGACGTTGCGCCAGCCGAGCAGCTGGCCACGCAGCACACTGAGAGTCGTTTTCGTCGCTCTGTCTCTCTCGCACTCACGGGGCGTCCCGTCTGGGTGCGAGAGAGACAGAGCGACGAAAACGACTCTCAGTCTGCAGGCACCGCCCGGGTGCTCCGCTGCTTGCTCACGCTTACCAATCGATTTCCCGGCAAAAGACAAGGCATCATCACCCCACTGCGTCACGCCCAAACTAACCGAACACCACTTTAAACCTATCACCTTGACTTTTTATTGAAGGAGTGCTGCCGATTTTGTCAATTTTAGGAATATCTCTCATGCCCCGTTGAAAACCAGCCATACCTTTTCCCCTGCCATTTTCGTTTCCAGGGTGTGTTTTCCCTGCCGTTTTAAAGAAACTGGCTTCAATTTTTAATGGTGGCCTGTGCAAGGGAATATAACCCTATCCGAGTTTGAACACCAAAATGCCTTTAAAAAAATCGAAATTTACTGAAATTTATTCAAATTTGTCGAAGTTCTTCGGAAAATTTAGAAGTTTTTGCCCCAAATTCTTCATTTAACAAATATTCATTGGATTTGTACACTGAAATTCAAAGTAATTTACCCTTTGGACTGTGCCCTATACACTGTTCGGGTTCTGTTCTGCTGACCTGGCGGGCCGTCGCCGTCTAATAATGTCTAGACGAAACGCCGAGGAAGCCAAGTCCGATGCAATGTGCACTATGCGTACCGAGCGCAGCCGTTCGGGTTCCATGTTGCATGTGCGCGTCGCGGCGTCGCAGACGGGCCACGCGGACACGCATGTGCACACTCTACAAAAAATGTCCTGTCAACGCCGTTAATTTATTACCAAAGTTTGCTGTTATGCAATTCACGGCGTTTGCTGTGAAATAGTTCACGGCGTTCACTGTGATCTCGGTTACAGTGTTCACTGTGATCTGGCCACAGTAAACGCCGTGAATTGGAGCCTGATTTGCAGTACTTCGGTGCTCAGCGGCGTCAAACTCACAGTGTTTACTGGGGACCAGATCACAGTGAACACCGCGAACAAGATCACAGTGAATCCCGTGAGCAGATCACAGTAAACGCTGTGGATTGACCTCCAGTGAAAACTGGTAATAAATTAACGGCATTGACAGGACATTTTTGGTAGAGTGCAGTGCAAAGGGGGGGGGGGGAAAAAATTTTTTTTTTTTTGGGGGGGGAAAACCCCAACCCCCCGGGGGGGGGGGCCCCCCAAAAAAAAATTTTTTTTTTTTGGGTTTGGGGGGGGCCCCCCAAAAAACCAAAAAAAAAAAAAACCCCCCCCCCGGGGGCCCCCCAAAATTTTAAAAAAAAATTTTTAAAAAAAAGGGAAAAAAAAAAAATTTTTTTTTTGGGGGTTTTTTGGGGGTTCCTTTTCCCCGGGGGTTCCCCCCCCTTTTTTAAAAACCCCCCCCCTTTTTTAAAGGGGGTTTTTTCCCCCCGGGGGGTTTTTTTTTGGGGGGGTGGGGGGCCCCCCCATTTAAAAAAAAAAATTTTTTTTTTTTAAATTTTTTTTTAAGTTTTCCCCTTTTTTTTAAAAACCTTTTTAAAATTTTTTTTTTTTTTCCCCCAAAAAACCCTTTTTTCCCCTTTTTTTTTTTGGCCCCGGGCCTTCCCCCCTTTTTTTAAAAAAAAACCCGGGGCCAAGCCGGAACCCAAGGCCCAAAAAACCGGGGGGGGTTTTTTGGGGCCCGGTTTTGGGGGGCCCCCCGGGGGGGGGGGGGGCCCCTCCCCCCCGCCCCCCGCCCCCCCCCGGGGGAAACCCCCGGGGCCCCCCCCCTTCCCCCTCCCCCCGCCGCGCCGCGCCGCCCGGAGTCGAGCGGGAATAAGGAGAAGAAGAAGGGCGGGAACAAGATGGCGCGGCCGAGACAGCAAACAATGACGGGCCGAAAGTGCCGACGCCGCGGTCTTTGTTTCTGCAGGGAGTCCGGTTGCAGGCTGCTTGCACCACGGCCTGCAGCGCCACGGCCAGCGCTAGCATAGCCTGCGACGATACGGCCTCCACCACCACGGCCTGCACCACCACGGCCTGCTGCTCCACCACGGGCAATTAGCGACTCCGGAGCTCAAAATGCGTCTAGAGTTTTGGCCGCTCCGGCGGTCTTCTCGCCCACTGTCCACCATAGCCTGCACCACCACGGCCTGCTCCGCGGCCCCAGCACCATGGCCCCGCCGCACTATGGGCCATTGTTCGCGGGCGGCTCCGCGGAAAGCCAAGTGGCGGGTTCGTTTTGGCGAAACCGACGAGGCGCCTGTTTGAATCCCCCTTCGTGTTACCTTTCAAGAAACACGCTTTCTGGAGCGTGACCGCTCGCCGCGTCGTTCCTCTCACCTTCTCTTTTAGAATCGCCTCGCTCGCCACACCACGATCTACGATCAAGCGAGCTATTCTGATCGCCTTCGTCGCGCTGCTGTCTCTCCCGCACTCCTCGGGGGGTTCCGTGAGGGTGCGAGAGAGACAGAGCGACTCGGCTGGAGAACGCCCGGGCGGCCCGGCCCGCCCGCCGCACTCCGCTGCGTTCGGATTGCCTACGCGCACGGCGCTCCAGCTCCAGCCGCCGCGCCGCCCCGCGCACGGCGCAGTGACTCCGGGCCCGGAGCCCCGCTGGAGTGGCCGGCTCCAGTGGCGTATACAGCCAGAGTCGGTCTGAGGGAGGAGCAACGTAGCACTTTTTGCCTACTTGCAGGTACAGGGCTGAAGTTTGAATTTTTGCCTATCTTCCAGGTGGCTGTCTAGGTGTCAGGGGTCAGTTATCCTTCTGCTCCCGAACGGATACGCACCTAGCCGGCGGGAGTGTCGATCCAGATACAGGCTTGGGGATACCAGGTGGGCCAAATCCGACTTTTTGACTGCCTTTCAGTCAGGTGGCTTCGCCTCTTTCAGACCGTCTGGATCAGCTTCCGGACTCCCATTGCTTCGAATGCGGACGCGGAGGTGAATCCGCGGAGCCAGGCTTGAGGTTGCTGGTCGCGCCTTTTCCGTGCACGCGGAAAGTAACGCGCCAACTTCCTGGTACTTTCCGGAGTCCTCAAGGGCGGAGAGGGGGTGGTATTGACCCCCCAAACCGCTCCCCCCGGTCACTGCAAAACTCCCAGTGGCGGATCCAGAGCCGGCGGCTTGAGGGGAGTGGGGCAAGGCAAAGTATCCCTCCTGGCCCGCGTAAAACGGCAAAGTGTTGCTTTCTGACCTTTTCGGCGGTTATCTAGGGTCAAGGGGTGGGCATTTTTCTCCTGCCTCCACCCCTCGCCTGCACCCGCGCTTGAAAACTGCCTGCAGCCGGAATCAGGTGAAGCAAGGGACATTGGCTGCTGGAACTGCTGGAACTGTAGCCCCGAAAGTCGCGTACCTTTCGCGAGGCCTTGACGGCGTGGTCCCCGTGGTGGTCCCCGTGGTGGTCCCCATGACGGTCCCCATGACGGTCCCCATGGCGGTGGCGTGGCGGCCCCGCGGCGTGTTGCGCCCGGCGCGCCCTGCCGCGAGGCTAGCCGTGGCGGCCAATGGCGCGCGCGGCGGGCCGCGGGGGCGTGGCCTGCCCGCCGCGCGGCTCCACCCACTGGCTCGGCTCGCCGTGGTGGGGCGGGGAGGGGTGCGGCCGGGCGCGAGGCGTAGCGGCGCGGCGAGGCGCGGCCCACCCCTGTTCCTGCCGCTCCTGCCGCCACCGCTGGCGCTGGCACCGGGCCGCCCCGCCGCCCGGCCTCTCACTCCCAAGCCGACGCTGGACCGCGCCGTACGCCGCCAGACGCGCTCGCCTCCCCCAGTGTGCTCGCCCAGTGTGTGGTATGCGGCACGGCACGCGCGTGGACCGTGCCCGCCCCGAATCCGAGCGCCGCGAACGCCGCGAACGCCGCGAGTGAACTAGTGACAGTGTGAGAGTGTGAAATGCGTAGTGCCTGACTCGCGAGCCATGACCAACACGTCCACGGACGCCGCCGCCCCCGGCACGCCCATGCAGGAGGTGCCCGCGCACGAGGACATGGACCAGAACGAGGCGCTGACGGACGCCTACGTCGAGGAGTTCGTCCTGGACCACCTGGACGTGGCCGTCAAGAGGGAGAACGCCGCCGCAGCGGCCGCGGCCGCGGCTGCCGCCGGTGACGGGCCGCCCGTGGACGAGGGCCAGCGTGTGCAGCGCCGGCCGCACACCATCCGCCTGCCGCCCATCGTGTCCATGCAGCCGCACCCGGGGCCGCACCCGGGGCCCCACCACCCCCAGCAGCTGCAGCAGTCGCCGCCGCACCAGCTGCTGACGCCGCCCGGGCAGCACCAGGAGCCCATGTACCACACCATGGGGCTCATGCACATGCCGCCCATGATGTCGCAGCACACCGGCGGCGTGCTCGTGTCCGCCATGAAGAGCACGGCGCTGTACCAGCACGTCGACGCCAGCACCCCGCCGGCAACGCCGAGTCCGGGGCGCGCGTCCCCGGGGCTGCCGCCGTCACAGTCCCCACCATCCCACTACGCCCTTGACCCGGAGCACCCTCACATCCAACAGCTCCGAGTGGGGGGCCCGGGGGCTGCGCCGCCGGGGCAGGCGGGGCAGGGACCGGGGCTGATGGACGAGATGGCATGGCTGCCACATTCGATGCGTCAGGAGCCGCTCGACTTGCGACCGACTATCAACGGCGACCCCGGACCACCCGGCAGCATGCAGCAGGGGCAGGACATGAGCTGGGGCGTGCCGCACCCGGGGCACGGCGGCCACGGCGGCCACGGCGGCCCGCCCCTGCACCACACGTCCGTGATCGCCGGCATGCCGCCCAGCCCCTCCAAGCCCATCCTGCGCATGCACCAGCACGACTACCTGCACGCGCCGCCGCACGTCCAGCACGGCTCGCACGTGCACGACGGCGCCATGTCGCCGCTGCCCATGGGCCACGGCGTGCCGCACGGCCGGCCCATGAGCTGCGGGGACTCGGTCATCTCGCCGCCCAGCAGCCGCACCGGCCCCACCGGCTACCCGGGGCCCATGTCGTCCTCGGGCGACGACATCATCTCGGACGACGCCCTCATGTCGCTGACGGTGCGCGAGCTCAACAAGCGCCTGCACGGCTTCCCCCGCGAGGAGGTGGTGCGGCTCAAGCAGAAGCGGCGGACCCTCAAGAACCGCGGCTACGCGCAGAACTGCCGCTCCAAGCGGATGCTGCAGCGGCACGAGCTGGAGAACACCAACCGCCACCTGCAGGGCACCGTGCGCCGCCTCGAGATGGAGCTGAGCAAGGTGACGCAGGAGCGCGACCGGTACCGCCGGCAGCTGGAGGGCGCCAGCCCCGAGTACTACCACCAATGACGGCAGCTGCGCGCGTCCGCCTGGAGCTGAGGCGGCCGCGGACCGCGCCGGAGCCTGGAGCACGGCCTGCACGCCCTGCACGCCCTGCACGGCCACGAACTGAACTCTCAAGTGTCTGTGCCCGCGGTAGCGTAAGTCTCGTCTGTCTGGATCAGAAGTTATCAAATTGCTCTATTTTTTTGTAATGGTGTCGGCGCGGCGCGGACGCTGCAATGTATACTTTACGGTTAAGTGATATGTGGCTTAAAACAGGCTCCTTGTTTTCAAGTGCATTTCGTGATATCTCAGTTCGGCTGTTTATGTGAGTCCCTTGCTGCGCAGTGCTGCGCTACGCACAGCCTCAGGATGGGCGTGTCGTGATACTGGCCCTGATGAGGAATCTAGAACGACAAGCACAAGTATTAACGGGGGCGGTGATGTATTTCCAAGGGGCGCGGCGCGATGTTGCTGCTCGACTTCGTTGGAACCTTCGAGTTCCTTCACGAGTCCCTGGGTAGCCTCAGATGCCATGTCAGAGGATGACAATATAATTGAATATAGTACAACATATCGAACAACTTATCGACTTTTTGAACACTGCTGTGTGTCAAAGTCCGTTTAAGTCAATCGACTTGATCTCTTAGATGGAGAAAAACTCATCTTCCACTTTGGCCTTTACTTTGTCGTTTGTTCTGTGCTAATCAGAGACGTTGTCATATCGGGAAGAACAAGTCACCTTTGGTAGAAATAATTTTTTTCAATTTGTTTTTTTTTGTTTATTTCAAATTTTATTTAGAGTTCATCAATCCCGTTCCAATAATTTTATGTTATGTACAAATTAAGATAAGAAAAGTGATGGTTAGGAGAGTAATTGATGTTTAATTTAAATGAAATTCCTCACTTTCGTGGAGCAGATTGTTGACTGATAATTTTAAAGAGGAAAAAACGTAAAAATGAACGTTTGTTGTTTAAGTAGATGACTTTTCCATCGCTGCTCTGCGTCATTTCCTTGTCTGAGGCGTTGGAAGCCTCGGGAACACACGTGGCTCAGATCTATATCTACTCTGTGAGACCCCAATATCAATAAAAATTACAAAACTAGTGAAGGGGGCAGCATTTGTTTTAATGGTACAAAGTGATTCATTGTTCAAACTTTTCAATTTATTTTTCGTGGCAAAATATTTTTAGATCTGCCCCAGAAATCTGGTTTTCCCTTCATTTAACATGTTTTTTCCTGAAACCTTTTGTGAAAGATACTTAATCGCCCATTAAATATATCAGCAACTAGATGGTGTCCCCTTTCGATATTAAAGAAACATTCCTATTTCGATCATTTTTTATCACTTTTCTAGTCCAAATGTAGTGTGTAAATCGAGTTTTCTAAAACTCAATCCTCCAGGTTGTAATTCAAAAGAATGATACTACATAGTTCGAAGCTGTATCGGTGAATCTGGGCTTATCTTGTTCTGTCATGTCGTTGAATTTATGTAAAAGTATACGATTTTTGTTTTGAATGTTGTAAATCTTTGTTTTTGTTTATCTTTACCTCTCCACTCGCGCAGCCCTTTTTCGTTTTGTATTATTAAGATTTTAAGTTAAAGTGAAAACAATGCCTTAGTTGTGATACTCTTTATTTTTTAAAAAATCTGTGGGATATTACCTGTGGAGAGTGTGACATTTTAAGTTTGTGAGTGCTGGAGAGTGTCTGTGATTCTGTACATAACTCTTGACGTCAGGTTGACTTCTTTTATATCGTTATTTGTTACGCCTCATGTTTTATTGTGCTCTGTAATATCAGACGCTCATACAAGTTAGTGTTTTGTACAAAATAAATAAACTTCCAAATAGCATCAAAATTCTTGTGAAGTCAACGAAAAGACCGTTCTTGAATCAATTTTTGAGACTCTGTTTTTGTGTTGAATCATTGTTAGATTTCTACCAGTTGCGCTGAAGTCAATAAATGAAATTTTATGATCGCCGAATCTGTATATTCCTTTCACAGCAAACCTTTTACTGAAAACAAATCATAAAAATCTAGTCATTACTTCGAAAAGACTCGAGATAAAAACAAGCAAATGACAAAACCGACACTTCTGCCAAATTTTCTCGAACATTTCAAAGCGGAAAGAAAAGAGTTTTGCTATAATTGAGATTCACATTCTGATGTAAACGTTGGCAAGCAGACCCGTAATCTTGTGCCTCCCTAGTGGCGAAACGCGCCACGCCAAGCGCATTGCGTTGCAGTTTTCCCTTTTATCTTCAGGAATAGACAGATTAAAACTATATAAAAAGACAAATCTTTTCGAGACGGCAAGTTCAAAGTCAGCCGATTGCACATTTATCAGTGCTGAGTCTGGTGAAAAATATCAGTAGAGAAAGGAGGAATGCACCTGCAAAGGCCGTTGGAAACAAAGCCAGCGACACACCCTTAAATGTGAAGGAGAAAATGATGAACCACCAACCGTCACATAGTTGCAGGCTCCAGTGGAGTGCAGGGATCCTTAACTTAACATTTAACTAACACTGCTTTCATAACGTAACATAAGACAATGTTCGCTAAAGGTTAATGGTACGGACTTATGAAAGTACTTGCAAAAGTATATCGACACAAATTCGAGACATAAAAAAATAACCTACCCTTTTGAAAAGATGTTTGAAGTTAAGGGTAATAACTTTAACTGTTATCATAACGTTATGATGCCCTTATGAGGTAAGTTAAGGATCCCTGGTGGAGTGTGTGAAGGAGCACGGCAAAACCAACGTCCGGGTTTCCCAGGCGCACCCTGGAAAAATGCCCTATGTGACTGTAAAAATGAAAACAGTGAACCTTTCTCGGTGTGGATTCTTTCTTGAGCTGTAAATTAACTCTCAGAAGCCGGGGTGGTGGAAAAGAAGCCCGTAGGGTGCTCGCCCCGCCAGAGCCGCCAGCAGGGCTTGTGGAGCCCCCACCGCGAAAATGATTTGCAAATGACGGTCTAGGACGGCAGCGCCGCTGCTGTCTCCGTGCGGCAATGATTTTTAATGACCCCAACCCGTATCGCAGTGACGCTGCCGCGGGCGGGGCGTGGTGGGGCGGGTGGGGGGGGCGGGCGGGGCGTGGTGGGGCGGGTGGGGCGGGCGGGGCGGGGCGTGGTGGGGCGGTGGGCGGGGCGGGGCGGGGCGTGTGGGGCGTGGGCGGGGCGGGCGGGGTGGGGCGGGGGGGGGGCGGGGCAGGTCGTCGCGCTGACATTGACACGAGCCGCATCCCGCTGCGCTGCGCCAGTGCGCTGCACCGAGGCCAGTAGACTGATTCCGAGAGTCGTTTTCGTCGCTCTGTCTCTCTCGTACTCACGATGCGTCTCTTGTGGGTGCGAGAGAGACAGAGCGACGTATACGACTCACGGAATCGGTCTGCGGGCAAGCCCAAGGCAGGCCGCACCCCGCCGGACTTTGTCGTCTCCTCGCGATTCGCTCGCAGTGCAGCGCGAGTGCAGCGTGCGCGAAGCGCCAAGACGGCGTGGCGGCCGCAGGGCGCAAGCGCCGCCGGCACACTGAAAGTCGTTTTCGTCGCGCTGTCTCTCTCGCCACCCATACGGGACGCCTCCATGAGAGTGAGAAAGACGGGGCGGCGAGAACGGCTCTCACTCGACGAATCACAGAAATACAAGGCCGCGCCATCACGGGGCCTGTTCAGATCATCCTGAACATTGGTGGTGGGGGCGCTGGTGTTGGTGTTGGTGGTCATGGTCATGGTGGTGGTGGCGGTGGTGGAAGTCGTCGTCGTGGTGGCGGTGCACCGCCGCGACGCGACGTGCTCCCACGGTGGTGCTGCGGCCCGCGTGCGCGGGGGCGGCGGGGCGCGCTGATCGTCACGACACGGGCGTGCTTGTCGGTCGCGGTGGCGGCCCCTTACAGTGGCCGCACGCAGCCGCACGCAGCACGCCCGCATAGCCACGCACCGCCTTATTCATGCGTGAGGCCGCCGCGTCCCCGCGCCGCCGATGATTGCAGCAAAGCGGATCTGTCTCACGGCTCATCGCCGCTGCGGCACGGCGGCACGGCGGCCCCGTCGCTCCGTCTCGCTCGCACTCGTGCGGCGTCGCCCAGGGGTGCGAGAGAGCCGGAGCGCCGCTCGGAACGCGCCCGCCGCGGAGGGGAGCAGCCACCTGCAGGCAGCGCCGCGGTGGCTGTGATTTTCCCCCGAGGCGAGCTCAACAGCCACGTGGCAAATGTCTTCCAGGCACGGATAAAGATTTGAATCTAAAAATTCGCTTCTACCCGCAATACCCACACTTATTGAAGACGTGGGACATTTTGATCCACGCTAACGAAGTGTGACCCTCGTTGGTCCCACGTCTGCGAGTGTGGGTGGGACACCGTGGTCGCAGAGTCCCGGTGTCGCCTCCACTGTAAGGAATGCCAAAATGCGTTTCTAATTTGATTCCTTTCACCGCGGTGCCAACGACACGCGCGTGACGGTCGTCGGGGCCTCGGCGGCCCTGCCGGGCCCTTGATGTGCATGGCTGCATCAAAGTCCGATTGACTCCGAGTTGAGCTAACCGGATTGCCGCACGGAGCGCTGCGGAGCGCTGCAGCCACAGCAGACTGAGAGTCGTTTTCGTCGCTCTGTCTCTCTCGCACTCACGGGGCGTCCCTTAGACGCGGGGGAGGCAGAGCGATGTAAACAGCTCTGGTGATCAGTCTGCAGAGGCTCGGCACGGCCCGGCGACTTCTATGCGGCGATATTTCTCGGAACGGAGTCCTTCGTCCTTCGCTGCTCCGCGGTGTTTGTTTACACCCACTACACTGCGGACTCATTCCGAGAGTCGCTTTCGTCGCTGTGTCTCTCTCGCACTCATAGGGCGTCGCCTGCAGGTGCGAGAGAGACAGAGCGACGAGAACAACTCTCAGTGTACTGCAGGGCTGTGCTGCGCGCTCCGCTCCCTCCCTCTCTCTCTCTCTCTCTCTCTCTCTCTCTCTCTCTCTCCTCTCTCTCTCTCTCTCTCTCTCTCTCTCTCTCTCTCTCTCTCTCTCTCTCTCTCTCTCTCCCTCTGTCTCTCCGAGGCCGAGGAGGGACGCGACGCACTACGTACCGTGGAGCACAAATAAGGAAACAACAACAAGGGCAGCAACTTGTCGCGGAGGAAAGTGGGTTAGCCCGGCCGAGGTGGCCAGCTCCCTGAGGGGCCACGAGATGGGGCCCTCCCCCGCCGCCCCCATCCACCCCACCCCGCCCCGCCCCGCCCCGCCCACCCCACCCCACCCCGCCCCGCCTTGCTGCCGCTACGCGGCGCCGCTCGCCCTGACTGACTCAATATTTCTCGCCGCGGACCCATTCTTATGCATAGCCTCGCTCCCCGCCCCGCCCCGCCTCGCCCCGCCCCGCCCCGCCCCCCCCGCCCCGCCCCGCCCGCCCGCCCCGCCCCGCCCGCCACGCCCCGCGCAGCACCGCGCAGCCCGCAGCCACGAAGAGCCGCACAGGGCGCTAGGAAAGCCTATCTCGATTCCAAACAACCCGCGTCGCGACCCGCGCTCCTTTTGGTTCTGTTTTTCGAGAATCGTCAATCGGGGCTGAAAAATGACCGACGCAAGACCGGTGGAGGCGGCCAAAATTCTAGACTCGTTTCGAGCTCCAGAGGCGCTGAATGGGACTCAAACTGAACGTGTGGCCCCATCAATGGATTGCTCTCCGAACAAGGAATCCATCGGTGGGGTCACACGTTCGGTTCGAGTCCTGTTTGGTGACACCGGAGCTCAAAACGCGTCTGGGGTTTTGGCCGCCGCGCCGGCGCCGAGGTCTTCTTGCTCTCTGTGCGACGGGTCCCCCACTGAAACATTCCCAATCCCACAATCTTGCGTCCGGTCAGAAACACCTGTCTGTAAGTATCAAACGGCGCAAAAAATCCCGGAGAATCCCAAACAACCCGACGCACTCCAACAATCTGTGTGCAGCTAAAGTTTGAGTGAGGGACCCCTCGAAAATGACCCAGTTAGTAGTAGAAAGTTATTTTCTTTCACGCCGCGCCGCTCCGGGCGCAAACGGCCAGACCAAACCAAGACCAAACAAACGACGCGTTTACAGTGTGACGCCCTGGGCCGCGTGCGCGCCGCGCTACTCCAGGCGAAGGGGAGGGGGGGGGGGAGAAATACCGCGCGCCAGTTCAGGCAGGCCGGGACATGGCTGTAGCAGCCAGCCGATCTCAAAACAAAACACTCACACACACACGCACACACGCGCGTATTCACGCACAAGCACCAGCGCACGGTCTGCAACATTGTGTGACTGCAAGGCAATACGCCGAGAAACACGACCGGCCCGTCTCGCCCCTCCGCCCTTCTCTCCCCCCTCCCCTCCTCCCCTCCCCTCCTTCCCTTCCCCTTCCTTCCTGCTCTTCTCGGCCGCCACGGCCTCGTCCTCGGCCGTCCACACAGCGACAGGACAAATTCTTGACACCTTGCTCGTTGCGTTGCATGCGTCGCGTCCGACGAGATAGTGAGTGGACGGGGTGCGCATGGTTGCGCAACGCGCGCATCAGCCCCCTGCACTGTAAAAAAAAAAAAAAAAAAGGAAATCTCGCCGGGATTTGCAACGGCGCCTCACTGGGAAAAAATTGGCCGAATGAAACCCCTTGTAAACGGTTCGTGGTTTTCCCAGGAACTCCCGGGAAATCGCGCCTACGTCTTCACTGTGGGCCACAGGAACGCAGAGTTTGCCGTGTGGGAAGATTCTGGGTAATTCACGAAGAATCTTTGTGAATTTTTGCAAAGGAACGTTCGTCAACATTCTTCTCCAGAGGTAACGTCGTGAATTGCCAATTTGTTTCTCACAGCGTGGTGGTCCGCGGCGCCGAAGCACACGCGCGTGTTACGCGGGGCTGTTTCGCGCGTTTCCGTTTTACGAGGCGACGGAGCCGTGCCGCCCATCGAGGTGCACGAGCCGGGCGCACATTTTTTGCTCGGCGAACTGTTCTTTTTTCCAGCAGTTTGAAACCACGCTGGAACG